ATTAAAGGTTGATGGAGCAAAACCCACTACTTTTATTATTTTGATTATTATTGCCACCTTTTGATAGCATATAATTATTAATATATGAGCTGCAATGTAACACTTAAGTTATGAAAGTTTTCTTGTTATTAAATTTTAACTTTACAATTTAAATATCAAATTATAAATTATGTTTAATCTTTAATAATGCCTTAGGTCAGATTATAACTTAAATCTTATTAGAAATAAAAGGAAGGAATTATAGAATATATAGTGTTATAGATTATAATAAGTTTATCAGAAATATATAGTTTAGACATGCAATATAAATATATGTTTGAGTAAATTTCTTTTCTAAATATAATTAAACATATAAATAATATCTATTACTATCCTTATGCAAATATACACCCTACTGATTATTACAGTATTTGAAAAAGTGATTGGCTTTAGATTTATTAAATCATTTCATCATTCAACTAATTCTTCAACATTCTTAGCATTTATTCTAATCTTATAGACAGTGATTTCACTTTCATTACCCTATCTAATTCTTCAGGCTGTGTGTCCTTGCCTTGCCTTTCCATTTTCTAATTTGATATTTCTATCCGTTGATTTATCATAGATTTCAAAGGGTTTCTTAAGAATAAAATGTTGATTTTTTTATAAATAGTCGTATAAACTCTCTCCCTTCAATATCATAATGTCCACATTCCTTTTATTTTTAGATGTCTTTATTTCCTATATCTTTCCCCTGAATTAATCAAGTTAGTAATGATGGACTCTCGCATCTGGCTATTTAATTTCTACCCTTTCATTAAGATTTATTTCTTTTTAAAATCCAGATATAAAAGCAGCATGACTACAGTCATCAAACATCATGATTTCTCAGATTTTCCTTACACTAACTCTATCTTTAAGAAGTTGGTTTGCAATTGATAAGAAATTAATTTCACGGTCATATATAATGTCCATTTTTTCTGAAAACACATGTCAAATTAAATAATAATATTTAATTTGTTGCTATCTTAGCTTTCATGTCCATTCCTCCTCCATATTTATTTATTAATTCTTATCCTCAATTATTTACAGTTTTTTCCTTCATAAACTTTCAATGTCCAACACAGAGTTATTATTTTCCATGTAACTCTTCCCTCCTCAAATTATCAAAATGAATGCCTTCATCTCCAAAATTATCGTCTTATGATTCTGGGGCTAACAATCCGCTTTAGATTTTAAATCTCACTCTCCTTGGTCTTATTTACACCTTTTTTTGGAGCGATAAGGGTTCATTTACTATCTCTTTCCATTCATGTCATCACTGGACAAGTTTGTGGGCTAATTATATGGGAAAGGACAAAACTCTGCATTGCTTTATTAATGAAATCACTAAAAAATTGAATCTTAAAATAATATGCTTTCTTTAATCTAATAATAGTTTCAATCTGCTTTTCTAAACTATTGAAAATCCACTTTGAAATGCAAAGCCTAATTTATCATCCTCCTTTAGAAAACGATTTCTTAGATATTTCATCAAGCGGACAAAGCACTCTTTATTCAAGCTTTTCGAATATAAAGTTTCCCTTAAATTACATGCTTATATGAAAGCAAAACCTAATTAATTAGACATGTAAATAAATATTTTGAACTTTTAAGTAAAGAAATATTATAATCTTTTCAATTTATTAATTTATTGACTTTTTCTATAAATTTGATAAAATGATATTTAATAAAGAATTTAGAG